TACCACTATCCATATGCATATAATGTCATACCAACTAAACAAACAAAATAAAACATTTTACGCAGTTTAACTTCTAATCAAAAATGATACCGTGAAATATTTTAATTACCACAAGGCATTCGGAAAATTGGTTTGTTTGTTTAATGGTTAAATTCCATTATTCAATTAGAAAATAAACGTCTAAGAGTTGACGATGGTTGCTGTTGACTAGCCACCTTCCTCATACTTTATCAGTTCAAAATTAGAGACGTCTAAGAGCAGACAGTTTTTGTTTAGTTTTGCGTGAAGTTTTGAAACAAATAAATCACCGTGTATAATGTAAAGGAAATAGAGAAGACACACCTATCAACTTAAAAATAAACTTGATGATGTTTGCTTCCTTTCACTGCGTCTTAATTCGCGCGCTTTAGGGTTTCACGATTTTTACACGTCCACTTAATTACATACTTTGTTTTCAGTCGCATTATGTTGACCTGTATAACTGGCTTTGTTCTCATTGCTTTATATCTAAAATAATGTGTGTGATAACGCTCGTTTCATCCGCACTTCCCATCTGACAAACAATATTGAACAACCCATTCATAAAGAAACGTGGGATTAGGTCATGGCAGACCTTTCTCCAAATCTGGCCCGCCCCTAGGAGTGGGAGTATGTAGAGTTGCATAGTGATTTGCCGGATGTCGTGCGTCTATAGAAACCCAGCCCTATGAAGCGTAACAGAAAAGTTGTTGGCTTTTCTTAAGTCGGGTAATATACAAATCTCGATAAAGAATCTCGCTCGGTTGTTGTTTTTATTGTTATTACTACATTTCCTGTCTCGGTCGAAAAAAAAATCACCAGATTCACATTAAAAATACATCTGTAGTAATAAGTAATTACTGCCAAGATGTTAACTATGGATGCCACCTGTTTCACACCTCCCCGGTTTACGGAATTCTGTTTGCGTTTCACGTGTGTAGGACACATAAGTGAGGGTGTAAACTGCTGAGAAACGAGGCTTAGTCTGTTACATCTAGTAAGCGAGGAAATAGCGCCATTTTCTAAATGTTACTCGGAATAATGAGGATTGAAAGTATATTGAACGTGTACTGAGTTTTTCTCTGGAGTGACGAAAGCCAACACTTGCTTCTGAAATTACAAAGAATAAAAATCATTGGGAACTATAATTTTGCAGAATTACGCATTTACAAACACCAAACCGTACATCAGTATATCTCTAAGCAACGCGAAATGATTGTTTGTTTTTGAATTTCGCGCAAAGATATACGAGGGCTATCTGCGCTAGCCGTCCCTAATTTAGCAGTGAAAGACTAGAGGGAAGGCAGCTAGTCATCACCACCCGCCGTCAACTCTTGAGCTACTATTTTACTAACAATAGAGGGATTGGCCGTAACATTATAACGCTCCCACGACTGAAAGGGCGAGCTTGTTTGGTGGGACGAGGATTTGAACCCGCAGATTGCGAGTCGAGCTCCCTAACCACCTGGCCATGCCGGGCCACGAGAAATGAAAAAAGGGTTCAGCTTCTTTGGAGTATTGGTGGTTGAAACACCTTCACCTCCAGTTTAATAAGTGACATAGACTTGTCCAAATGGCCCCACCTTTTCTGCTAATTACAACGGGAACTAACAACAACATGAATAAAAAGGGAGGGGCCAACTTTGTCCAAGTTGTGCCTTGTTTAACGTTCCTATTTGAACGTTACATCTCTACATTGATGGTGTAGAATTCGCGTTACGAAGGATCATAACATCAGTAAAGAGGGTGGAAGGGGTCTTATATCAACCTGAACCTCCAAGATCCTGAAAAAGATCTAGATCTCGCTACAGACAGTGTGGGATCTCTATATACTTATACATATTTAGATAATTTGGCTGTTATTGTGGATTATATGTTTACAGTGCTTGGCATTTTATGCAACCTGGCCCCCCTTTTTTTATAGTATCACTTCTTTATATGACTGGTCTCTTTATTATGACTGTTTTTACTTGTGTTTTGACAAATACATTTTATCGTTTCCACTCTGTAGTTTATACTTATATTTCTTTTGTCAGGCATACATGTACGGTGTCATTTGTTTTGGGCCTAGTTCATAAAACACAAAATATCACCGAAGACAGTGATATGTATATATATATATTACTTGAGATATAAAATTTATTATTTTTATTTATTGTTTTGCAACTTATATGTATATATTATAAATGTTATTAAAAATAATTTATAACGATTGATTCTATGCATTGGATGTGGCCTAACGTTGGGCTGCGAATCGAAGGATCCGGAATTCGAAACGTGATGTTGCTGAACACGCTCCGCACTTGCATTTGTGGACACATTATAAAAGTGGCAACAAATCCCGTTATCCGGTTCAAAGAACTGGACAAAACCCATGTTGCGACGGGTGCTTCTAGCTGGTTCCCTTTAGTCAGTAGTCCAAAATTAGGGACAACTATATCTCAGCTCTAGGGATCTCTTACCTGGCTGTTTAGCCCATATGCGTATAAAATATCATTCAGACTGAAAATTCCAATATCTGTAAATCACCTTTCTAACAATTTTATATTATAAATGCAGTAACTAAATACATTTTATCTATGTACGTAGGCATGGCCTGATGGTTAGAACACTTGATTCGTAATCTGCGGGTTGCAAGTTCGAATCTCGACACAGAAATCTCCCTTTCAGCCGTGGGGGCGTTATAATGTGACAGTCAATTCCATTATTCGTTGATAAATAGTAACCCAAGAGTTGGCGGTGAGTAGTGTTGACTAACTTCCTTGTCTTTAGTTTACCACTTCGAAGTTAAGGACGGCTGGCGCAGATATCCCCCGAGTAGCTTTGCGCGAAATTTTAAAAAAACAAACTAAGAAACAAGATCTGTAAGTTCAATGGGAAACTAAAAGATATTTAAAAAAGTCCTGGCCCTTATATATAATGAGCTTTTATATATAAAAAAATGAAAGATACATATAACTCTTACGACTCCGGTTAAAGTAATACAAAAACATCGATTGGTTAGAGTTTGATTAATCAAAAGCTTGGATTTGGTGATCACAATGAATTTTCTACAAAAAACGCATATATGTGTTTGATAGCAGTATTATATATTTATAGAGAAGATAAAATGACGATTGGATATTAGATTCGTGATTATTATTTTCATATTATCAAGCTAACTCGAATAAACCCAAACTTGTCCAATTTCTAGGAGGGTGTGCAATTGTTAATTTGAAAACGATACCTTTTCTTGCATGATTCTTATCCTTCGGGTGTTTTATTTTTTGTTGCATTCAATCTCTGTTAGTGGTTCATGTTTTGATCGTTGTATCTTTACGACTGCGTTCTTTATCAAAAATTTCAGAAAGATTTTGGTTTTCAGAACAGACACAAAATCAGACTCTATCTATCTCATTCACACACAGTAATAGTGCTACGTTTGCCTATCACAGTTTCTGCTAATGGGATTTAACTCTTACTATTTCTTTATTTATTTTTACTTATATCCTCGCACAGTATTCACGTAATTTTAAAACATGCTGAATGTCTTTGTTAAGTTCTGTGGGAAAGCTATACGTGTGCATGTATTTATCATCACCAGAATGAGATTGGTGTTAAAAATGACTTTCAACTTGGACGTAAGAAAGGAAATTAGTGTGAATCGATTTGAAACTGTTGAAAAACATTGAGATTATAAAATGACTAGATTGGTTTGGTTTCAAAGAGTTCTCCTAGTCTTTTTATAACCTTAAAGATTTTTGGTTTGGTTTCAAAGAGTTCTAAATCTTTAAAGTTATAAAAAGACTAGGTCGCTCTAAAAGTGTTGGAAAACAAGGTTATAAAAGAATTAAGTTGCTTCGATTTCAAAATGTTAGAGCATTTTGAGATAGAAACTCCTTGTGGTTTGATCATGTTGCTTGATGTATTGAAGGGTTACTCTACTCGGAGTTATTTTCATGCTAATATATTGAGAAAAGGAAAACAAGCAGGCAGCGAGGAGTCAAAATGGGAAGTTGTTTGAATCTTGACTGGAACTGAATTAAACATGAGTATTATAAATTCAGGTGAAGATTTCATATGGGCTATTTTATATGGTTAAAAACTTGAGAGTGTTTATTTATGGACACTTAATAAAAATTACATGTTATGGCTAGTAGTCAGTAATGTTTTGCAACTTACCTTCGTTTAATATTCTTCCAAAATATTTTAAATTCTAATGAATACTTTTGCAAGAACATTTAGTCTAAATTATTGACAATTCAGTGCACACGAAATCTCGTGGAGAACTAATAAATTTAAATTATGAGTACAAAAACTAAATAATCTAGGTGCGTGAGGCGAACTACCTAGTTAAACATTTATCGTTTCAACATTAATTAGGGAATTATAATAGAAATTTACAGTACAGTACTATATAAAATATCTTTTAAATTGTGAAGGTAATTCTGGTTGATAAAAAGAAAAAACCGTTGGTGTCGTTAAGCGTTTATGCCTTGCTTCGTTCTACTTACGTGCTGCCATCTCTTATTAGAAATTCGAACGTCTTCACAAACACACTGTGGTGTTGAATTTTTTATTAAACAGCCTTATAGGTAATAATAATAATAATAATAAAAAAGACTGTTCGCTCGATATCATTTGGGGTTATTACGAATCAACACCAAATTAGACGACGGTGACTATACGATAAATTCATATTGATATTTTTAAAACACATTTTGTATTAAGGTACAGAGAATGTTAAATTTCATAATTAACTTAACAATAGCAACAAAATAATCCAACATTCATACTTATAAGATGGCTGAAATATTTTATTTCTATATAAACCACAAATGTAACAAAATGACGTGGTCCTTTTTTTAAATATGAATATCGACAATATATTAATAATTGAGCAACTTAAGCTTGTATATTACAGGTTATTGCAAGAGAATGAGGTACAATAAAGTTGAAGTTTCCAAAACTGGTGAAATTAATTTAGCTTGTTATGTTTCTAGGACAAAAATGACGCCAAGAAAACTGAAGTTCGAGTGCAGCACCGAAAGAACCAGACATTTCCAGAAGTGATACAAGTTAAGAAAAAACTCTTAACCTAAAAAAAAATATCCTCAAAGATGCAAAACCGACGTTACTATTATAACTGACTTAGTGTTGGCAATTTTATTTGGTTATCTATGAGCAGCAATTACATCAATTAGGATCACGTAAACTAACTGATCAATTGAAATTAGCGTTTCGGATTATTGCTGTTGTAGTTTTTTTTTATTATTCCAACAATCGATTAAATCGATTATCACGATAATAATAAACTAATCGAAATTAGCGTTTTCGATCATTTTTTATTATTGTAACTATCCAAGTAATCGTCTTGTCTTTGTTATAGCGAAGCCATTAAGACTTATATGCCAATTTCAGTAATTTTTAACTGTTGACTAGAGGGAAGACAACTGGCTGGTAGCATATAGGTGGGGCATCTAGCTGCCTGACTCAACTCATGAAAGGTCCACTTGTGAGGTACATGAAACTAATAATTTTTTATGTCCGGAACCCCATTTGATGATACTCAACTCCAACTCACATAAGCCAACTTGAACATATACAAAATTAACATTTCAGACCCAGCGGCCTGTCCGATACACAGCTGCAACTCACATAAGCCAACTTGAACATACACAAAATTAACATTTCAGACCCAGCGGCCTGTCCGATACACAGCTGCAACGCACATAAGCCAACTTGAACATACACAAAATTAACACGTGAAATCCAGCGGCTTGCCTGATACACAGCTGCAACTCATGAAAGACCCACTTGTGAAAAAAGGCTTGTGTGACAATCTTTAAGACCACCTACAAGTCAAGAAGTAAAGACCTTCACACCATAATATTACACGAAACAGTCAGAAACATTTATGTTATAATTTAGTATATTCTCTTATTTTCATAAAATTAGTAGATTTGGGCTGTAAGAGAGCCAAATATTCTTGCCCTGGGGCCTTCGTATGCCTATACTATACACCACATACATTAATAACTCTACCAGGCTTAAGTATTTAATAAATAGCAATTAATACATTTTCTCTTGCTTTTCAAAATTTTAAACATCTTACAGGGTACGAGAAGATGTTTTGTGGCTTAATGTTTAATAAAATAAATAAATTGTCTTCCACTTTCGTCAGTAGTTGCATTCCCTCTAGTCTATCAGCTCAAAATTATGGAAAAACATGTGCGAAATAACCACTGTGTAGCTTTACACACAAGTTTAAAAACAACAATAATCTCATTTCAGACATTCAAGGCCAGGTGGTTAAAGAGCTCGACTCGCAGTCTGCGGGTGGCGGGTTCGAATCCCAGTCCCACCAAACATGCTCGCCCTTTCAACCGTGGGGACGTTATAATGTGACGGTCAATCCCACTATTCGTTGGTAAAAGAGTAGCCCAAGAGTTGGCGGTGGGTGGTGATGACTAGCTGCCTTTCCTCTAGTCTTTCACTGCTAAATTAGGGACGGCTAGCGCAGATAGCCCTCGTGTAGCTTTGCGCGAAATTCAAAACAAACAAACAGACATTCAAAGAGCTTTATTTTACTTAAGAGGAAACAAAACTGTATAACATTATTTTATCACGAAACGCTCATTGCTTTATTCACATAGGTAATTTTATACTTCCTAGAAAATTGTTTCACCTTATACATTTTTCCTAACTTCCCTTTGAGCAAAAAACACGTGAATACATTCATAGAAATTCAAGTATTTCAACTCTCCATGTGGCAAATGTTGCTAAAACTAATGTTTGTTTGTTCGTCTCTAATTAAGCACAAAGTTACACAATGGACTATCTATGCTTTGTCCACCACGGGTATCGAAACCCGATTTCTAGCGTTGTAAGTCCGCAGATATACCGCTGTAGCACTGGGGGGAGGAGCAAAACTAATGTTACAAAGTAATGCGAAATATGTTACTTTGATTATATTAGACTCTTATAAAGATAAAACGAGTGCATGGCAATGTTTAATGATTTAACCATATGTACATAATCCAGGACTTTGGAAGGAGAACATTTTACTAAGGGAATAGTTTTACATGGCATTTTTTGTTAAAATTGTTCAGTTAACCACTAGTATTATGGTCTATCACCACTGTAATTTTAATGCACTGTGGAACTGTTTTGTTTGATATTCAGAATAAAGTCGTAAATAATAATGTTAAAATTAAATTGAAAACAATATTGTAGATTGTTTGACATTAAGTATATTGGTGTTTCAAATCACTAGATTGCATCTTCCTGATAAAATAAAGAAAGAAATTGGTGAGTAGTACGCTCCTAAAATCATCAAAGTTCAGTCAGATATAGTTCAATTACAAAGAGAACAAGTTTATTGAAAATAATAAGAGCAGGCCAAGCTTAGAATATCAATCGTAAGGCTTATTTCTTATGGGGCTGGCCCGGCATGGCCAGGTGGTTAGGGCGCTCGACTCGCAATCTGAGGGTCGCGGGTTCGAATCCCCGTCACATCAAACATATTCGCCCTTTCAGCCGTGGGGGCGTTATAATGTGACGGTCAATCCTACTATTCGTTGGTAAAAGAGTAGCCCAAGAGTTGGCGGTGGGTGGTGATGACTAGCTGCCTTCCCTCTAGTCTTTCACTGCTAAATTAGGGACGGCTAGCGCAGATAGCCCTCGTGTAGCTTTGTGCGAAATTCAAAACAAAACAAACAAACAGTTTTTGTGAAGTGCGACCTAAATAAGAGTGTGAAAGAAAAGAATTTACCATGTCGCTCCTGTAAAACAAAAGTTCTACCACCAAAATATGAATCAGAGATTGGCCAGCATTTACCACTGAACCCGACTTGTGCTGACAACTACACTCATAGCAGGT